ATATGGGATTGACCGTCACATTATAACGCCCCCACGGCTGAAAGGGCGAGCATGTTTGGTGGACGGGGATTCGAACCCGCGACCCACAGATTGCGAGTCGAGCGCCTTATCCACCTGGCCATGTTGAGAAAAAAAATACCCAATCCAGTTTTCTTAATTTGAACTGAAATGTTTTGGACATTTTTATTGGCTAAAAAAGAAGGTATTTTCCGCACTCTTTTAGCGTTGGGACTGTGAAATGTCATTTGAAGTGATAAAGTGACTGATATCTGTCAGCGCACCACGAGCTTAACGGCCAAGCACAAGAAACATGGAAGTCTCCAAATGACACCTTGGTAGATATTGTGCAGCAAGCCGAGTACAATACTATGCCTGTAGCTGCTTTCAAATTGTTCCTGTCTCCTCATCCTACTGCTTACTACCGTGATGCTTCGACCTTCCCTACCGAATCGCAGGTGAAATCGTTCGTATCTAAATTAAATCTAAACATAGAAAGGTGATAGCAGAAGCATAAGAGGTTAGCAATTGTTTAATTAATGATGCTGAGAATGTGGCTTTATTGATATATAATGAATGTACCCCCAGCGGTAGACTTTAGTACGAGCTAGTATGGAGACTTGAGGATGCTGTATTTCACTTTAAAATTTATCAGTTGATAACTAGCAAACGAAATGTTGTCTCGAAAAGATACGTCCAAAACCACCCTCTTTGGGAGTTTCCGGATTGGACTTATTTTTAATATTCAACAAATTATAGTGTAAAGACACCCCTTGGCTCCTGAGGGACGTGTTAAAAATCACTTACCGAAGTTGAAAACAAATCACTATTAACGTATTGTAGCATCATCTGTTGGGTTCAAAATATATTTAAGTTGTCTTTAACACATATAAACATTGGTGTTTATGAATTATATGTAATATGATATGATCTCTTATTTAATCTATGATGGTTTTCGCACTTTCCCGAATACTCAAAGATATTTCTGTAAATATGGTAATAAACATTTAAAGATATAAATGTTTGTTTGTTTGTAATTAAGCACAAAACTACACAATGGGCTATCTGTGCTCTGCCCACCACGGGTATCGAAACCCGGTTTCTAGCTTTGTAAGTCCGTAGACATACCGTTGTGTCACTGGGGGCAAAGGTATAAATATCAGACAAAAAAAATTAAACATAAAATCTTAACTCGACTGGGGTTTGAAAGTGAGGTTTCTACATGATAGTGAAGTAGTATACCCACCATACCGCCCATTGCTTGTAAGTGAATATAAACAAATAATTCAAATATCTAACTTAAACTACCATGTTATTCGGTTTTATTCCCCTAATATTGTATGGTTTTGCTCTACAAACACGATGAGATAATAATTAAAAACAGTAATACACTGGACTGGGATTTGAACGCGAAACTTCGGCTTGAGAGAAACCACTGAGCCAGTTTGAACGTTGCCAACAAAGCGAACGTTACGAACAGAGATTGGAATGTTAGCAATAAAGGTAGCGTTGCGAACAGAGAGTGGTTTATATAAATATATATAGATAACATTGCAGTTTAACTTAACCTGTTTTAGTCCTTCGCTGAAAAATAAATGCATCGACTCTTCAAAAACTATACAGCAGTCCCTAGTTTTACTTTGATAAATAAACACAAAACTGTACAATGGGCTATCTGTGCTATGCCTACCGCATGTATCGAACCCAGAATTTTAGCATTGTAAGCCATGAGACTTACCGCTGTTCTACTGGGTAGCGCCTAATTTTGAAGTGATATACCAGAGGGAAGGCAGCAGGTGAACACCACCCACCCCTAATTCGTGGCCTATTCTATTATAATAGTAGGATTTGATGGTCACTTTAATAATGCACAGACACAAACGACCCTAAAGTGCGAAACAGGACAGGAACCACGAATCCTTCAGTCCACAGTCTGGCACGCTAATCCTCGGGTGGGAGGGGGCGCATGTCTCTTACAAAGTGAAACATGTAAAATATTTACGATTGTTTGTTTTTTGAATTTCGCGCAAAGCTACACGAGGGCTATCTGCGCTAGCCGTCCCTAATTTAGCAGTGTAAGACTAAAGGGAAGACAGCTAGTCATCACCACCCACCGCCAACTCTTGGGCTACTCTTTTACCAACGAATATTGGGATTGACCGTCACATTATAACGCCCCCACGGCGGAAAGGGCGAGCATGTTTAGTGTGATGGGGATTCGAACCTGCAACCCTCAGATTGCGAGTCGAGCACCTTAACCACCTGGCCATGAAAATATTTACGAATTATATATATCCAAGAAAGACTCCGAAACAAGTAGTTCAGCACATAATGAAAATTCTACCACTATAGGGACAAATCTCATTCAATATCTATCGTTATATTCACAAGAACTTAATGAAAGAGTGAAAGATAAAATTATGTACGTTAACTTTATTTTATAAAGAGGCAACTTGGTTTGCAGTACCAAAGAAAAAAAACAAGGTTATATTTGATAGATGTAAATCGCTAGGGAAATTATTTTGATAATTTTGTTCTTCTTCAATTATATATTGTTGTGATATGACATTATAATGGACTAGCAGAGACGTTTTCTGTCAAATTATTATCTTTATTGCAACAGTATTTCTTTAAATACACACGAAATGTAATCGTAGACACTGAAATATGTAAGTCCATTTGTATTTCGGTCACACTTTATAAAACCTTAACTAACGTTAGGCCTAAGTTCGATAAAGAGATAAATTAACACTGTACCGTGTACGTTTTTTGCATCAGCTTAGTTAGAACTAAACTATACTGTACTTAATACTATCGATGAATAAACTTACAAAGTTATTCTAGGAACTAATGTCAGACCTTTTTAAAAACTTCAAACTTTTAATGTTATTGTACTAAACGGTTAATAAAGAATATTTACATCCACCTTTTTCTGTTCCTTCCTTCATAGAGCAGTTGTAATGACTTATTGGTTGAGCTTTCCAGCTCTCTGGCGCAGGCAGGCGCTTGCACTGTTTTTCCGGATAAAATTCTTACTGCGCATGCTTATAAGGCGTAGTGACAGCATAATTATAGTATGACAAGATTTCGGTGTCTGCGATTAGAATTCTTTTGTTTTATTCTAGAAATCCTGTATTTAAAGAAGTAGTGTTAACTTAATGTCTCAGTTAATAAATGTATAAACAATCTGCTATGAATAAATAAATGTTTCTATACCTCTGCTGCTAGATATGTTTATTCAAGCAAGTATGACAAAACACAATTATGTATATTCAAAATGCCCACAATCTTCATTATCAACAGATGAGTTTCATATTATGTAAGCCTTGCACCAGCTATATCGTAGGGTTAACTCAGTGTGTTAGCTAATAAATTTTTACCAAACAAACTTTTCAAAAATTTATGTTAAATGTGAATTTATGTTTTTAAAACTGAAACGTGTAACCAAACCCAGCGATAAAAAAAACAACTACGGATATATCTCACGTTATAAGTTTCGTTTTTTTTACGAAAGAAATATGATGTAGAATGCTCTACTGCCCGAAGACGGCTGCAGTATAGCAGTCAAAATGTTGCTAATAAATAAAACGAAAATATTAACGTGGAGTAAATCTGTACTATTTATATTATTACTGTCATAATGAATCTAAACACGATTGTTTTACATAACTTGTATAATATGACAACAGAATTACCTGGTTGTTTTTCTGCAGTCAATAATATATTTTAACAATAGAGGATATTTCAACCAATCTCCCCTATTATCTATCGCTACTTTTGTAGATAACATTTTTATTGAAAAATAACGTTTATTTATTCTCATGTATGAAAAATATTGAATTTCTCAAAAAATTGGCGTTAATTATGAATTATTACGATTTTTCTTCATTGAAAAATATATTCATTTCACTCTGTGTGAACTGAAAACTCTTGATTTTTGGTACAATCTTATCTTCTGTTTCTATATAAAGTTATACTTCCAAGATGTTGACATCAACACTCAGACAGTAAGACAATCTTTTTTTACAATCTAAAAAGGGAATAGTATATGTAAGTAATTAAATTTGTATGAATAGAACATGGCCAAAAACAAACACCCTGAACATTTCAAAAAATATATTTATAAACTAAAATTTGAATACGTCTAGTGCTAAATATATTTACTTAAAATGTTATCCATACATTTAGAAAAAAAATGTACTAATTTTCTAAACCTCCAGATTAAAACCTAGTTAATATTCATATTGGATATTAAGTACACAACGTAGGTTCAGGATGAAAATCATGCTACAATAATTAACTTCCCTACGGGGTTCGACACACTTGTTACAAAATGAGCTAATCAAAATCATCCATTTCGATTCCAGTAACGATGAAGAACACGTATAATTAATTATATATACCTAATTAATGGAGTACTGTAAAACAAATTACCTTGTAGACGTCGAAATTTTCAATTATGGAGTCAAAACAAGTGTAGAGATCATTTAATAGATCTATCACCTGGAATGAAAAACAAATGTTTGAAAATTCTTGATTTTAACCAGAGTAGAAACCACCTGAAATATTATAAACTACGCATTCACAAATTTAGTGGAAAACTGACAAACATGACAAAACGCTAGTTAATGGTCGAAGTTCTATATTATATGTTTTTATATAGTATGAAACATTATTATGGAAAAGGGGAGAGGAAAAAGGGGGAAGTCAAATGCATATACTACAGAAATTGCATCCCCTTCTAGTGTGAAAATTAATTGCTTCAGAATACATTCACCTGCTCATAATTTACACTGTGATTGATTGTCATCTAACCAATCAGAAAGTGCTACGCCAGTAAAAAGCCTATAAAAGTACTCGTATCACACTGTACCCAGTAGTAGTAGTGTGATTCTATGCATGGTTTACAGAATTGGAGAATTAACGTACGACAGGCGTGTAAAAGTCTAAGTTTGGGCTGGTCCTTGATAATACATGAGGGTACATGAAACTACGATTGTTAATAACAGAAGTGATCGAGATATAAACCCAAAATTTATTTAGGTACCTCGGGGTATATTCTTCACAACATAGATGACGGTCATGGGGGGGGGCAATTATCCCCCTCTTCAAAATGAGAAACACAATTATTTCTTTATTCATTCAGCATATGTATATATCTATTTTTTATTCAATTCACAATTTCACACTACTTTGCCCCTCCTGGAAGAATTTCTTCGGAGGCCCATGACGATAGTCGAATACATATTTTGTCATTTATATTTCTGTAAGTGCCGGTGTTAATGTTACTTCACAAACAATAAGAGACATATTAGTACAAAGGAGTCTAAATGAATGAGCAGCTGCTCGACTCGAAAACCGCTGCTGAAAAGAGTTAATCACACCACAAATAGCGGAATGAAAAAATTGGAAACGTGCGCATTTTACAAATGAATTCTAATTAAAAGTATCCGGTGGCAATCAATAAAAGTTTGTTCGAGAGGAATATGAAAAGTATCATAGTCAATGAACATCATCTATAGAGAAGCATAGTATGTTTGATAATGCATCTCAGCGACCGATATCGGTGATCTACACAAAACTGATGGCACCCTGACTGCTGACATTCACATGCAGCTTCTGATACATCATCCCATCCCCTAAAAAAACACGATTCATCTGGTGGGGATTCATCTTCCGGGAATACAACGATCACAATCATACAGTGAATATGGTGAAATGATACCTTTTCTTTAAAAACTCTTATGTAACACTCACAACCATAGATTGGTACTCTTATGTAACACTCACAACCATAGATTGGTACTCTTATGTAACACTCACAACCATAGATTGGTACTCTTGTATAACACTCACAACCATAGATTG